AATAAAAACTGATAACCAATCATCTTAAAGATCTTACCAATAAATGTCTAATCTGAATAGCTAAAATCTCCATTTTTATAATCTTACTTCAAAGACTATTCAGTTAACCAGAATTTAGTAAGCACCACAGAATGTATTGTATAGGTATTTTACTCATATTTCCTCCCCTCAAAAATGACTCTGTGTGGTGCCTGGCCAGCTCAGTCAGAAGGGCAGGAGACTCTTGATTTCGGGATCCTGAGTCTGAGCCCATGTTGGGTGTAGAGATTACTTAAATAAATAAAAGTTTAAAATAAATGACCCTAGGGGCGCCTGGGTGGCTCAGTGAGCATCCGACTTCAGCTCAGATCATTATCTCGCAGTTCATGGGTTTGAGACAAACACCAGCTCTGTGCTGACAGCTCAGAGCCTGAAGTCTGCTTTGGATTCTGTGTCTCCCTCTCTCTCTGCCCCTCCTCCCTAGCTTGCACATACACACACACTCTCTCTCTCTCTCTCAAAATAATAAACATTAAAAAAAATTCTTTTAATAAATGACCCTAATTCTGTGTACTGGTTCTCTAAACTAATTTACTTCTTAACAAATATTAATAGAGTACAAACTGAAGTATTTAGGGGGTAGGGATTTTTTATAAAATGTTCCACTTACCCTGGGGTGGGGTGGGGGGATAGATTAAAACAAGAATGTCTAAATGCTAATAGAGGAGTGCATCTGAGTTCATAATACATTCGATTTTTGTGTATGTCTGAAAATTTCCACAATAACAAATTTTTTAGGTCTTCCACCATATAAGGACACAGAGAGAAGTCACTGCCCTTGACCCAAGGAAGAAGGCCCTCATCCCACCATGCCAGCATCCTAATCTCAGATGGTCAGCCTCCAGAAATGTGAGAATTAAATTTCTGTAGTTTCTTTAAAAAAAAAAAAAAAAGCATTTTTTTTTTAAAACCTCTCATAGGTGGTTCTTACTGGGGTCAGGCAATATTCTATGTACTTTACCTATATTAACTCATTTAACCCTCCGCTAACCCTATGAGACAGGTACTCATTTTGCAGATGAAGAAACTGAGGCACAGAAGAGTTAGATCATTTTTTTCAAGGTCACAAAGTAAGCTGAAATTCAAATCCAGGTTGTCTGGGCACGTGTGGACATGGAAAAGCCTTGAAAATGTCATTTACAGGTGATTTTTGGTTTTGCCTGTTCCTAATTTCTAATTTTTTCACAAGAACATGTGTTTTTGTGATTTTGAATAGTTATCAAATATTTATTCAGATGCTAACACATTCTTCAGAAACAAAGGATGCGAATTTATGAAACCAAATTACCGCAAGCACAGAAATCCATCACCAATAAGTCATGCAGCGAACAACAAACTAAGAAAATTTTAGAAATGATAAAAGATTCCTTTGATAACCAGGGCACCTGAGTGGCTCAGTCAGTTAAGCATCCGACTTCGGCTCAGGTCATGATCTCACAGTTTGTGGGTTCGGCCCCACATCAAGCTCTGTGCTGACAGCTCGGAGGCTGGAGCCTGCTTCAGATTCTGTGTCTCTGCTCCCTCCCACTTGTGCTCTGTCTCTCTCCTCTCAAAAATAAATAAAAATATTTTTTTAAAAAGATTCCTTTGTTAGCCATTTTACCAACACCTTATAGAAACAGTAATACTCAAACAGGCCAGTGCAATTTAACTAGATAGATGCAATTGCCTTTAGACCACGTAAAAACTTCTGCCATTTTTTTTTTAATATTTTTTATTTATTTCTAGGAGAGAGAGAGAGAGACAGCGTGAGCAGGGGAGGGTCAGAGAGAGACGGAGTCACAGACTCTGAAACAGGCTCCAGGCTCTGAGCTGGCAGTCAGCACAGAGCCTGACGTGGGGCTTGAACCCACGAACCGAGAGATCATGACCCAAGCGAAAGTCGGACGCTTAACCGACTAAGCCACCCAGGCACCCCAAAAACTTCTGCCATTTTTAAGGAGAAACCTAACCATTAAAATGTTCGTATTTAGACTCCTGGGAAAGTGTACACCAACAAAATAGCTCTTACTCTTGAAAAGAATTATGTAGACTAATTACAAGTTAAAAGGCAGCATTTTTCTTGATTGCTGCAAAGTCACAATTCAACCTCATTTCTTATTTTCCATGAAAGCTAAATTATTAAATTCATGCAGAATGCAATAGTTACAGTTATTTTTAACCTGCATTCCTAGCGCTAACTAATGAAAGCTAAAGATCAAACGAGTAGAAGAATTTTACAGGAATATATTAAATTTCCCCACTGTTAACTAAGGCAACATAGCCCAAGACCGACATGGAGACTATCTCTATATTCCAGTCTTGAATGGATACAATCACGAAAACAACATAATCACGACACTGACAACCATCCTGAAATAAAGTAAATAGTGCATTGGGGGGCGCCTGGCTGGCTCAGTCAGTAGAGCATACAACCCTTGAGTTGAGGTCATGAGTTCGAGCCCCATGTTGGGTGCAGAGATTAAAATGGGGGGGAGGGTATTTATTTATTCTGAGAGAGACAGAGGCAGCGCCAGTAGGGAAGGGGCAGAGAGAGAGGGGGTGAGAGAATACCAAGCATGCTCCACATTGCCCATGTAGAGCCCAATGCAGGGCACGAACCCACAAAACCACAAGATCATGACCTAAGCCAAAACCAAGAATCGGATGCCCAACCATTTGAGCCACCCAGGAGCCCCAGAGATTACTTAGATGAATAAAACTTGAAAAACATACAGCGCACAGTGAAGCAACAGCATATATTTTTTGCACACCCTAAGCCTACCCATAGTGAAGATGAGCAACACCTCTAATCTGACGATGCTTATAGTCTCATGTGCTTCTATCATCATCATGACCCAGCAACCTGGCCTGACAGCAAAGTACACGGGGTTCACGGTGCGGTGCAGGCTCATAAGGAACAAGCCTGGATGCAAACCCAGGCTCCAGCACTAGCCATTCAGATTACAGTTAATCACTTCCTACCTCGGAGTCTGTTTTCTCATTGGTTAAATACAGGGAACCTGCCTCAGAGTGGCGACAATATGAAATGTGCCTAAGGGCCAAGAGGGTCTTGACATAGGAGATACTCTAGAAGCATGTTTCCTCCCTCCCGTGATACCATGCGGCATAGTCAAGGGAGGTGAATGATGGAAAAGAACTTGAGTTCTAGTGATAAGTAGGTTATCTCTAATCAAAGACTAGAGTGGGATCTTTTATGTAAGTCACCAGCCCCAAAGTCAGAAAATACACGAGATTCCCACTCAGAATATACACTTTTAACTTCCCTGCTGAAAACCTTTCAGTAGCTTCCCACGACACTCTGTAATAAAATCAACACTTCTTAGCATGGCTACAGGTCTCATAGACATGATTTGGTCTCACAACACTCCCTCAGTCCAGGAGCTTCTGCCACAATGACCCCCACTTTGCTCGGTGAAGCCCCCAAGCTCTTTCCAAGTCTGGGTCTGGAACTCTCAGGACCCTCAGCCTCAAGTGTTCCTGGCTTCTTGTTGAAAACAGCAGACTCTTCTTACCCTTCACATCTTCCACTGAGCCTTCCCTATCCCTTCACCTCAAGAAGCACTCCACCCACTACGCCCAGTGACCCACCATTACATCCTTCACGGCGTTATCCCCCGCAATGAATGACAAACTCTTGTAGCAAGGGAACTAGTCTTTTTTACCACAGTGACCCCAGCACATAACAAATACCTGTTTAATAAAGAGTCCTTGAATAACCAAAGCAAGACCTAGGATTTAGAATGCCCGACTGGATAAAACAGTCCCTTTGTGCCAAGCCCTCCACAAAACACTTAAACTAATCCATTGGGTCTTCACAGTAACTCCGAGGTAGATATTATTAACTCCCACTTCCCACTTGCCCAAGGTGATACAGTGGTATTAATAGCCAGGATTTATTGCGTTCTACCATGTGCAAGGCAGGCACCGTCGAAGCCCTTTATGTGTCTTCTCTCATCTGATATTCAAAACAACCGCATGACAGGACTACTATTATTATACTCATTTTCATATGAAAAACCAAGTGAGGCAAAGAGAGGTCAAAATTAATTGCCTAATTATGTAAGAAGCAGAGCACCAATATGAACCGTGCAATTGGTCTCCAAAGCTCACATTCCTAACCGCTACCCTATAAAGTGTAGTTGACACAGAGTTTTCGCCAAATGACGACAACGCATTAAAGCACTTTACTCACAACCAGGCACATAGCAAACACTTACAAAATGTTGGCTACTATTATTCTTAGTCTGAATCCAACACTTTTGTTTTTCCTATTACATCCTGCTGCATCCCAGAGAGTCAAGCAACTCTTTAAAACAAAACAAAAAAAACCTGAGTTCCCAAAGTAGTTCATCGGCATATGCAAACAGCTGTGTATCTTTGTATATATTGCAATCCATCCTGGGTGTAGTGATTGCTTAAAAATAAAATCTTTTCTTAATTTTTTTTAATGTTTATTTACTGTTGAGAAAGAGAAACAGAGTGTGAGTGGAGGAGAGGCAGAGAGAGAGGGAGATGCAGAATCTGAGGCAGGCTCCAGGCTCTGAGCTGTCAGCACAGAGTCTGACACGGGGCTCGAACCCATGGACCATGAGATCATGACCTGAGCCGAAATCGGACGCTTAACTGACTGAGCCACACACATGCCCCTATTAACTTTTTTTTAGAGAAGAGAGAGCACACACAGACAGAGGAGGGGCAGAGGAAGAGTGAGAGAGAGAGAGAGAGAGAGAGAGAAAGAGAATCTGAAGCAGGCTCCAGGCTGTGTGTGAAGCCCAACATAGGGGTCAATCCCACGATCCTGGGATGGTCACCTGAACTGAAATCAAAAGTCAGGACACCCAACCAACTGAGCCACCCAGGAGCCCCACAAAAATAAATAAATAAATAAAAATTAAAAAGAAAAAAAAAGAGGTGTCCCATGCAGAGCACAAAACACAAAACAATCAATATAAACCTACCCTCATCCCGTGTACCTCTCCCACATTTATGTATGTTCTTGACTTTGTATTTTCATTTCATCGCAGACCCTTCAGTTTAAGTCCAGTGGGCATCTAACAAAGAACAAAGATTGGCTGCTCTGGTCATGGTGATTAGTGTGGACCTTTCGTGAAGTCCATGCCATTTCTTGCCAGTGTATCAACACGTCCATATTTACAATTTCCTCTTTCTTTTTTTCCTAGCAAGCACAAAACAGTTTATTAAAAACCCGTTTTCCATTTTTAAATAAATAAGTAAATATTCACTGAAATAGATGAAAGCAATCATTTGGCCAAGCAATTGCTCAAGCACTACCACAAAGACGTGGCCGGCTACACTTCCGCAAAGGAATGCCTGGCTGGCAGGTGGCCCTACCATGTAACAGCTCACAACACAGCTCCATGAGACTGAGAAAATTTCCGTGGGGATGAGGTCACTTGTAAAAACACAGAGTTTGCAATAATGGCAGAATGTTCTGGAAGAAAGGTCCAGAAGAAAAAGATCAAACGGAAGCTACGGCAGGTTCCTTCTCGGTTCCCGCAGACGTCTCAGAAAACAGGGTTTGAACTACAACTTGGCATCACATAGGCAAGGACAAGAAGCGGCTGAGGTGCAGAGCAAGGCTCAGACGGTATCTAGTGTCCCTTCCAGCCCTGTGGGGGCTGCAATCAGTCCTCAAGATGGAGAAGACCGTCTCGTTCTGAAGGGGCCAGCTGTCATCTGGAGAGCAGCTGTACCTGCTCAGACACCAGTGACGACATCTGTCAAAACAGCCTGCTGCTGCATTATTGCCCTGGACTTTCGAGTTTTCTTGAGAGAAACAGCTGAGTCCTGTTCACCACTGCAGGGCCGGGAGGGCCACAGGCAGTGAGTACAAGTGTTTTCTGAGTTGCCATGTTGAGCACCGCAGCTACTACACAATAGGCTCAAAAAACGTTAGAATTCCGTTGTTTATTTTGCTTTCAGATCAACTTTACAAAACAGAAAGTGAGAAATTCAGAAGAATCTGTATATTTCTCACAAATGAGGACTCACGAAACAAAGACCAAAATAAATTAATAAGAACCAGAAGGGGCGCCTGGGTGGCTCAGTCGGTTAAGTGTCCAACTTCAGCTCAGGTCATAATCTCACAGTTCGTGGGTTCGAGCCCCACATCGGGCTCTGTGCTGACAGCTAGCTCAGAGCCTGGAGACTGCTTCAGATTCTGTGTATCCCTCTCTCTCTGACCCTCCCCTGCTTATGCTGTCTCTATCTCTCTATCAAAAATAAATATTTTTAAAAAAGAACCAGAAGTAGAAAAATATATTTGTGAATAATTTTTTTAAGTTTATTTATTTTGAGGGAGTGTGTGTGTGTGTGTGAGTATGTGTGAGTGGGGCAGGGGCAGAGAGAGGGAGAGACAGAGAATCCCAAGCAGGCTCTGGGTGCTCAGCTCGGAGCCAGATGCAGGGTCGACCTCACAAATCCTGAGATCATGATCTGAACCGAAATCAATTGTCAGACAGACCCTCAACCACTCAACCGTCTGAGCCACCCTAAACAACTTTATTTCCAAATTAACGCAGTAACCTGAATTCACTTGCCAACACATTTAGGGTTTGAAAAGAATTCGTTCTCTTTACACACACCACTTCCTCCAGGCTTTTCGTTGTTTTGTTTTTTAACTGAGCAAATCACTTTGTTATAGGTAGTATCAAGAGGAACCAAGTCCAAATCCTAAATCAGTAGAATCCAGATTAGTGACATTTTATTACACCGTTATTCATTTTGGAACATTTTCTTTAAAAAAAAAAAAAAAGGTCAAAGAACACGAGCAAAAGCCCACAAGACTGGTTCTTCACTGTTTCCAGCTGAATTTAATAGAGATGGAAACTGGGTCTTTGTTACTTGAATACATCCTAAGTTTTACTTGAATGCTTCATTTGACAGCTAGTATTTATCAGAGCTATGTCCTTAATCTGCTATGTATCACAACCCTTTAGAAACCCACAGTATCACCTCTGTGTATTCCCCACTGGGGGTAAAAGGCATTTTAAGCATGTCATTACCCAAAGAAGTAACATTTACTAATTCTGCTACACTGCTAGCGTGAGTCACAGCCGTTTTTATTTGTAGGGTGCTGAATAATCAGGTATCAGTGAACCTTCACAACCATCCTGGGCAGAAGACTATTAGGAAATCATTTCACATTCGCATGGAGACACCAAGCAGCAGACGCAAGAGTGAGAAGAGGCTCCTGGAATAAAACGATGATAGCCAGCCAGCAGAATACAGAGTGTAGAATGTCTCTGACAGTTCATTTAAAAATTATATTTAGGGGCTCCTGACTGGCTAGTCAGTACCGCATATGACTCTGAATCTCTGAGTTGTAAATTCGAGCCCTACGTTGATGTATAGATTACTTAAAAATAAAATCTTGACCAAAAGAGCTACACTTAAAGAGGAAGAGGAAGAGCAGGTGGAGGAGAAGGAAGAGGACCCTGTAGCTCCTCATGGGAATTTCTGGGTGGTGGGAGGGGAGGCGCAGAGGGAAAGAGAGAATCTCAAGCAGGCTCCACGCTCAGCATGGAGCCCAACACAGCTTGATCCCACGACTCTGGGATCAGGACCTCAAGAATCAGATGCTTGACCCACTGAGCCACCCAGGCATCCCAAGCATTTTTTTTTTTAATTTTATAAATTTTAAAACCAATACAAATTTTACATGTACAGTTTCCATGAAACTGTTCAACACTATGTTGGAAATAAATGACTGACGAGATGGACAGCAGCCACAGCTCTACAGAACAGCAACTCACAAGAAAGCCAGTGTTCAAAGAGCTTCATTTCAGCCTCAAAGACTATTTCTGCCTCTCAGCCCAAATTCAAACACTATGAGATTGTACCTCCAAACTGATGCAAAGGTCCTCAAAGCCACAGAAATAAGACAGCACCAGCACGATACCCAGGACCACAAGGGCCTCCCCAAGTCCCACCCACCAAACTGAATTCCACAGGGAACTTAGCACAATAAAGCTGAAAGTCGAAGGAGGGTCAAAAGGAACCCACTCTGTATGGGAGTAGGCAGTCACGGTCCTTGCTGAGCATTTGATCTTATGTTTGGTATTTCTTGGCTACATCCTAAAATATGGCATACAGCCTTCAAATCTTATTCACTTCCCATCTCAAAAGTATAAGAATGCAAAGGTGGGGGGCATCTGGGAGGCTCAGTGTCAGACTCTTGATTTTAGTTCAGGTCATGGTCTCACAGTTTGTGAGATCAGGCTCTGCACTGGGCTCCATGCTAACACTGTAGAGGCTGCTTGGGATTCTCTCACCCTCTCTCACTGCCTCTCCCCCATGTGTGCCCGCCCTCCCTCTCTCTCAAAATAAACAAATAAGCATTAAAACAACAAAAAAACACAATAGGGTTAAAAGCAACCATTTTCTGTGTAAAGTTATTCATTGATTTACCTAAAAGGTAAGTTAAGGAATATGTAGGTAAAATATTGATAACTTATGGAAAATATATTTACAAAGTTTTAATCATATAAGGAAATGTTTATGGAGGAGTTAAAAAAAAAAAAATGAAAGAAGGGAGCCTGGGTGGCTCAGTCAGTCAAGTGGCCGACTTTGGCTCAGGTCATGACCTCACAGTTCATGAGTCCAAGACCAGTGTCAGGCTCTATGTGCTGACAGCTCAGAACCTGGAGCCTGCTTTGGATTCTGTGTCTGCCCCTCCCCTGCTCACACACTCTCTCTCTCTCTCAAAAAAAATGAGTAAACATTAAAAAAAAGTTCAAAAAGAAAGAAAGAAATTTTTGCAAACAATCATGAACACAACCAAGTTTAAACTAGATATATAAAGACACAGGATTAAGGAAAAAGTGAATATGCAAAAATATTGAAAAGTTCCTTTCTGGATAATAAGATGATAGGTGATTACCACCTATCACATTCCTCCTTGTATTAGCTACATTTAATTCCCCACCTCCTCTGCAATTGGCATACATTACTTTTTTTACACTACATAAAAATTATTCATTCTCTTCAAATAAAACCATAAGGTCAGTTTTGGGGTCTCAATAAAAAAAAACAGTGACCTTGGGGTTCATGACTGGCTCAGTTGGTGAAGTGTGAGACTCTTGATCTCAGGGTTGTGGGTTTGAGCCCCATATTAGGTGTACAGAGATTACTTAAAAAAAAATAAAAATCTTAAAAAAATAGTAATGTTATCGATTCACTTGAAACCCATGGTCTTTTATCATTGTAATAAGAGGCAGTTTCACCACAGCACACACCAAGATAAAAAAAAGTCTCACTTGATCCAATTACACTGCTTATTAAGAGCTATTTAATGAGAAAGTCACACCTTTGAGTTATTAGAAGCTATAATGGTCCTGCAGAGTTCCAAACAAGTAAGCTAACAGAATTACCTTTGATTCTAAATTGTTTGCCGGCAAATTAATCCATCTGTCCCTGAAAAACATTAAGTGTTCCTCCAGTATGTGCAACTTTCTCCAATCTCATTTTAATCAAGTAAGTTAGCCTCAGTTGAGAGAGTAGGTATTTTTCCACAGAGCTCCTGTATACTCATGGATATATGACATACAAAGAAATGCACATATTTAACGAGTACAAGGTGATGAGCTGGGACGTATGCAAACACCCGTGATACCATCAGCATACTCGAGGTAAGAGACATGCAACACCTTCCGTGTCTTGCATCCTTTTGTTTTTGTTCTGTGTTTAAAAAAAAAATTAACATGAGATCTGCTCTATTAGCAGATTTTGGGGACACCTGGGTGGCTCAGTCGGTTGAGCCTACGACTCTTTATTTTGGCTCAGGTCATGATCCCCAGCCAGCCGGTGGGAGCATGGAAATTACTTGGGATTCTCTCTCTCCCTCTGCCCCTCTCCTGCTCTCCAAAAAAATATACAAATAAATAAAAATAAAAATAATCTCTAAAACAAAAACAAATTTTACAGTGCACAATACCATATTGTTAACTACTGGCACCATGTGATACACTATAGCACTTAATTCATCTAGCATAACTGGAACTTTACAAAAGCTAGGTACTTTTAATTGCTTAAATTACAGTGCAAAGAGTTTAGTTTCTTTTAATTTTCCAAATGTATATACAACATAATACCACAAAAAAATGCATCATCAATAGATACA